CTCCGTGACACGGGGATGCAGCCCAGGCCAAGCTGAAATAAACACGCCAAGCGCTGTTTGCTGCTTCGCAGGTTTCCTCCACTTAGCTGAGCGGGTTGTGGCAGGGGGCGGGCAGCCCCGGGCCCCTGCAGACAGTGCCCTTGTCACACTGAGATGAAGGATCTGGCTTTTCCAAAGGACAATAATTGCTCTGTAGTTTGAGCTCCCTCGTGTCTGCTGGGCCCCTCTTCCTCCCTCTGCCCTGAATGGCCAAGCCCCTGGCCCTGGCAGCAGCTCCTCAGATGTGGGGGTGGCCGTAAAAGCAGCCACTGAAGTGGCTCACGGGTGACCGCCCAGCACCCTGTGTGGGCCAGGAGCTACCTGCTGCACGGCTCCTAGCCCGTGGAATCACCGGGCAGCGTATGAGCAAGTCCCCGCCCAGTGGGTTGGCGGGAGGGAGCAGACCCTATCTGCAGCTCTGGCCTGAACTGAGTAACGTGGCCCCTGTGCTTCCCTTCCAGGTGGGTGCAGGTGGCTTGTCCACGGCTCTCCATTGACTGGGGAGGAGCCTTCAGCAAGCCGCTGCTCACACCCTACGAGGTAAGAAGTTCCTGGCAGCCCTCTGTCTCGCCTTGGCAGAGGTGGGACAGGGATTTGCCCCAGTGCCCAATACCGCAGAGAGAGGAGTCGGTGGACCCGACGGACAAGGCTCAGGGCCCAGAACAGACGTTCCCTTGGCTGAACTTGTTCCATTGCACAGATCAGGAGCACCTCTGGCCCCGCCCAGCTGGCCCCAAGCTCCCCAAATGCCTCCTGCTCCTCCACCAACTGCCTGGCCCAATGCAGGCGAGCTGTGAGGAAGGCAGAGGCTCTGGGAGCCGGGCACAGACAAATAACAGCAGGGGAACTTTGAGCCTGGCTGTGACTGGGCCGCCCCTATTGCTGCAGACAGGGACTAAGGGGCCAGCACCACATTATTTTAGGGAAGATTTATGGACACGTTTGTAATTCTCTGCCTGGTCTGCGTGTCCTGTTGGGTGGGAGGGCAGCCTCCACATGCTTCTGCAGATCACAGCGAGCGCTGCAGGGTCGTTCTCCATGTGCTCCCAGTCGTCTCTGCTCCCCCCACCACATCAGAGCGAGCACCTGTATTGTTCCTAATACTGTGTCATGATTTAATATGCAGTTCAGCGCTGCGAGCTTCCCCGCAGCAGTGCCCAGCCAGGGACCCCAGCGCTGCGAGCTTCCCCGCAGCAGTGCCCAGCCAGGGACCCCAGCGCTGCGAGCTTCCCCGCAGCAGTGCCCAGCCAGGGACCCCAGCGCTGCGAGCTTCCCCGCAGCAGTGCCCAGCCAGGGACCCCAGCGCTGCGAGCTTCCCCGCAGCAGTGCCCAGCCAGGGACCCCAGCGCTGCGAGCTTCCCCGCAGCAGTGCCCTTTTAGTACCAAGCACCTCAGAAAGGTGCAGACTCTGATTGGAGTTTAATGCTTCTAACCATTTTACTAAGTCGTTAAAGTGCATGTGTGGAGCAGTCTGAGCCCCCAGCATCTGCTGAGAGGGGCTGATACATTGGTCGCTTCTCCATGCGACGCTCCTGTGGAGGATGCTGGGTCCTTTGTTGTGGTGACATGACTTTGCACCCATCCAGGCTGCTGTGGCCCTGAAGGAAATCGAGTGGCAGCAGACTTACCCCATGGATTTCTACGCCGGCCAGTCCCTGGGGCCCTGGACAGTCAACCATGCCAGCCACCAGCCCCAGAGGGGCACCAGCCGGCCAACGCAGGTAAGGCACCTGCAATGGGGTTGCAAGGAAGAAGGGTCCCTGGGGCGACACAAGCTCTCACAGCTGCCTCCTCCTGACCCGTTTCTCTTGGGGTGATGCTGGGGAACATGGCCACAAACCTGCCCCAGCCAAGGCCTTGGCTCCTCCTGAGCCTCACCCCTCCCCTTTCACCCTAGGCAGTCAGGCGGCCTGCTGCTGTGCACAAGAGAAACACCATGTGCTGCCTGCACCTGACCACCAGGGGACTGGGCAGGTGCCCAGAGCTTTGTACCTGTTGTGTGCAGACAAAGACAGGACCAGGAGGGAGCTGGGCCCTGGCCCTGGCCCTGCACTTTCCCTTCTCTGCTCTCCAGCTGGTGGCCCCAGTACTCCCTAGGGATGGAGGGACAGTGCCAGAGCCCTGAGGAACAAGACACCAGCCCTTGGCACAGCTTTAATTCCTGCTTCTCTGGGTTTGGGGTTTTCCTGTTTGCAAGGAAGCCGCCCTGCAGCCTGCGCTGCCTGGGCTCTGCCGTGAGCTGAGAGCACCACCCAGTGGCTCCAGCCAGTGGCTGGTGATAATGAAATGCTTGGTGTGGCAGCCGGAGCCGCCCCCCTCCCTCACGCTCCCCGTTGGCCTGGAAAGGGGCACAGACTTTCACCTAAGGTCATGTGGCGAATGGACCCAGGACTTGCAGCCTCAAGCTCCGAATCCGAAGCCCATTCCGATGCTGGCCCCGTGCTGCGGCTGTGTGTGGCAGGGATGCTGAGCAGCTTTCCTTGCTGTGGCTTCCCAGGAGGCCAGCTCCCTTTGGGGTGGAGCGGGCCCAGCAGAGTCCTCTGGGGTCATCGCTGAGCCAGCTCACCCCACTGGTCAATGCTCCTGCTCCCACCATGTGTGGCAGAGCCGGATGCTTTCTGGGGTAAGCTCAGACCAGGGCTCCCAGCTCTCGCGGGGTATGTCACAATACCCTAGCACGAGGAGCTGGTGTCTAGAGGACTTTCTGGGAAGTGATTTAAGGGGCCAGCAGGACTGGAGTGGCTATGAGAAGCAGCAATCTTGTCTGATCGGTATCGGCTGTTCCCGCTGAGATATAGGCCTGGGAGCAGACGCTCCTCTGAGTTATTGTCGCTGTTTCTGTAACAAGTGGCAGCTGCTGGGTGCCTGTCTGGAGTGTGATAAGCAAAAGCAGCACAAAGGGCTGTGTCACAGCCTGTCACTTGTTCACTGTAGGGCAATGCAGGAGCATTTATTGGTGTCATTTGCCTAGGAAATGAGAGGGGAGGCTTAGCGTGCCCATAAATCCACGCTGAGAACATGACTTCCAGCACGTGAGCTTTCTGCAGGGGATGGAAAGGAGGCCAAGATAACCTAATAGGGGCCACAAGGGGAGTGGGGCAGGTGTGTTTCAAGAGCAGCAGCTGGGACTAGGGAGCAGGTGTGATGATATCACTGTGTTGGCAGAACCCTGGGGACGGATCCTCTTCTGAATGGTGTGTGTGTGTGTGTGTGTGTGTCTCTCTCTCTCTCTCTCTCTCCCGTAGAGGAAGCTGCCTGAACCTGTGGTACCAGTGGATGCTGGTGTGGGGAAGAAATGCACCGACTGCAGCTGTCAGGACAAGGCCCCATTGCAGCCAGAGCACCCCTGAACCCCCAAACAATGGGGATATTGGCAGGTACAGCCCTGCAGTTACCGGCCTGGAAACAAGCGCTCCCAGCTTTGCTCTCAGGAAGGGCTGTCTCTGACTTCAGAGCTGGTGAAATGGGCCAGATCAACAGCACTATAGACTGACTGACTGGCACCCAGAGCAGGTACAGAGTAGGCAGTGGCAGGGCCACTCTCTCACGGCCCTGGAGAACCATCTCTCAGTCTCTCGCCCATTCAGCCTGAAGTGTTTCCACGGAGGCTGCCTGAAAGAACCAGCTGTAGCAGTGGTTTCTGTGATAGGGACCATTCCCTGGCCACTGGACTGAGATCCCCCATTAAGGAACAGCTGTGCCGAAACCATGATTAATTTGCATTGAAATGTCCCGTGTGTACTACAGAGAGGTGGAAATGGCCACGCAAAGGCCCTTCAACTGTGCTGGGTTTGGGACATAGTCTCACTAACAGGATGTTGAGAAGCACAAAGTTGGGAGCAGTGCCAAGGTTCCGGTTGTGTTCTGCCTGGGGAAGATGGATTTTAGGCCAACACACTGCTCTGTTCCCCTCAGTGCCTCAGCCCCAGTGTGTAGACATCAAGGCTCAGCCTGGGGGCAGCAGTGAACCCTAACTTACACACTGTAGTTACCTTGATACATTTGCCAGTTGCAGTGGAGGGACAGATTCTTTGTCTCTGTGTGTTTCACCGTCCATGGTTTGCAAAATCCTCTTTCAAAGTTGGAAATAGTGTCCTCCAGCCCCAGAGTCCTGTCACATGTGGGCAGACGTGGACTCTCCTCCCGGGGCCTTGGTTCTACTCACAGAGCAGCCTTCACCTGCTATCACTAGCTCCTGATTACATTGATCTAAAGGAGAAGAGAAACACGCCCCGTAGCTCTGTCAGAGCCCATGTTAACTTGCCTCTTCGGGGGGGTTGTCTTTGCTCTGTCACCAGTGGCGTTGCTGGGCGGGGAGATAAATGGTGCAGGGGCAAGGGAGAGAGAGGGGCTCCCAGCAGAGAGGGACAGGGCAGGCCCTGTAAAACTATCCCAGCCTTGGGCTCCTGCTGGTGCCCCTCACTCCTGACCCGCAGCCCCCTGCTATCCCATCCTTGCCGCCCCCCCCGAGCTAGGCCCGGCCCCAGGGGGCTGCTGGCTGCCTAGAGACTGACAGGCCGGGGGAGGTCATTGGACCGGCTTGGGGGGAGCTCAGGCTGGCCAAGGAACGGGGGCGTCCCAGGGCCCATCGCCCCACCAAGGGGTGCAGCGGGGGGGGGGGGGCGCCGGGAATAACTCAGGCTCGGCCTCGGCCTGGTGCAGGCTTGGGGGGGGGGGGGGGCTGTGCTGGGGTCTCCTGCCCCAGCCCTGACAGCCCCGGCTGGGCCCCTCACAGCCGGACCGCCCTGGCTCCGCCTCTCAGCACCCGCTGGCCAATGAAAACGCCCATTCAGCCCCATGGCAACGCTCGTTCCGCCCCGAGCGGGGCATAGGCATTTCCTGTTTGAAAGCCGGATATCCGGTTCCGGTGACCGCCATGTCCGGGGAGAAGCGGCCGCTCCGGCTCCTGGGTCTCCATGGTTACCGCCAGAACCAGCGCAGCTTCCACGAGCGCACCGGGGCGCTGCGCAAAGCGCTGCGGGGCCGCGCGGAGCTGGTGAGCGTGAGCGCGCCCCACCCGGTCCCGGGGCCCGCGGCCGAGCACGGTAACGGGGCGGGGCGGAGCCCGGAGCCGCAGGACGCCGAGCCCCGCGGCTGGTGGTTTTCCAGGCCGCGGGAGGAGACGTTCGACGCCCTGGAGGAAGCTGCCGCGTGCAAGGGGCTGGACGAGTCGCTGGACACGGTGGCCCGGGCGCTCGCGGAGCACGGGCCCTTCGACGGGCTGCTGGGCTTCAGCCAGGGCGCGGCGCTGGCCGCCCTGGTCTGCGCCCTGCAGCAGCGCGGGGACGCGCGGTTCCCCTTTGAATTCGCCATCCTGGTGGCCGGCTTCAAGAGCCGGGCTGCCCCGCACAGCAGCTACTACCGGGAGCCCATCGCCGTGCCCTCGCTCCACGTGCTGGGGGACACAGACCGCGTCATCCCGCCAGGACTGAGCAGAGAGCTGGCTTCCCACTTCGTGGGTCCAGCGGTCCTCACCCATCCGGGGGGACACTTCGTCCCTGCCTCTGCACCCCAGAAGAGAGCCTACCTTGAGTTTTTGGCCAAGTTTTTGAAATAAAAGAGGAGGGACCTGCCCTTGGGCATGGAGGGGAGGAGGCTAAAGGCGCTCCGTTGACTTCGATGACCCAAGACAAGTTGAGGTGATGTGATCACTGTCTAGAAGTACCTACGGGGGGGAAGATTTCTGATAAGCAGAGGGCTCTTTAATCTAGCCGATAAACCATAATAAGATCCAGTGATTGGAAGCTGAAGCCAGACAAATTCAGGCTAGAAATAAGGCGCAAATTTTTAACACAGTAACAACCATTGGACCATTTAACTTAGGGTTGTGGGGGATTCTCTGGCACATGGACTCTAAATCAATACTAAATTTAAAAAATAAATATTACATGGCTTTATAAAAGATACTCTTGAAGTTACGGGTTTGGTGCAAGAATCACTGGTTGAAATTAAATATTTTGTGTTATACTGGAGAACAAATTAAATGATCATACTATTTCTGGTGTTAAAAATCTACAATTCTTATCATGGGTCTTGTAGCACAGAAGAGGTGAGGCCAGGTGGAGTTTTGTCGCAGGAGATGGATATTTGGTGATATGATCTATAATAAGTGGAACTCCAATTGAGCTGTCATCCGTGTGTCTGCGTAGGTTCCAAAGGTCCCTATGTTCTCCTGCCACCTGGATGGGCTGAGGACAGGGCATTTGCTGCCTCACTTCAGATCCAGAATTTCTTTGGTGAAATAACTCAGGAGAATATTAAACCCTCCCTGCCTTCGCTCTTTACATCTTTCCCATTTTCTGCAGTCTCATTTTGTAGAGCATCGAAGCACTAGCATGAGGAGCCTCATAATGGAAAGGCCACACAAGTCTGCTGTGTAGTTTTTCTTGTGGTCTCTATGGAGACTTATCTGGCTGCTCTGAGTGGTATTAACGGGAGTCCCAGATCTTGGCCAGAGAAAGTGTCCACAGACACACAGAATGAGGGGTTGGTTCAAAGCATTAGGATCTCACATAGCCTTTATGCCCCAAAGTGGTCCCCTCAAAGAAAACCAGCTACTTGGCCAAACTTGGTGCCTTGCCAAAGCTGCTACTTCCTAGCTCTAGAAAAGATTCCATCTGCCCCTCTGCTGGTGCTGAGGCATTTGGTACATTCCCCCTCCTAGCTAAGAAATTCTTGTGCACATCCAGCCCTGAGGAGCTAGATGTAATTTCACTCCTTGCAGTTTGTCCCATATCAAGTGTATTTTCTCAAAGGAAGAGCCTTGAGTGTGACCGTCCTGCTTGCCAAACCTAGGCCAGATCTTTGGCTGAGACATTTTCCTGGAACATACAGTAAGCTTCATTCAAAAAAAGGCGGGGGGAGAGTTGGGGGCTGCTGGACTTCTCACACTGGTTGTACTAGCCACTCTTGAAGTGGAATCTGCAGTATCTGAGGCCAAGGGTACTTCCCTGAAAAGAGCCTGAGTCAACAGCTTCTGTTAAAAGGATTGTCTAAAAACACCTGTTCCAGAACAACACAACCCATGTCTCTCAACAGAAGAGATAACATCACAGTGACGATGCTGTCCCAGTTCCCAGATGAGATTCATACGCTCTTCTAGGTGCTAACAGGACAGTATTGTGGTATCTCTGCACCACAGCTGTAGAGCAGGTGAAGAAATCCCAGTTGTTGCTGTAAGGGGGAGATAATAGTGTTGTCCAGGAATGATCCCTGAAGACCACACAGTACTGCTGATGTATTCATAGATCTAGATGAGGGTAGGAAAGGTCCTGCAATTCTTCAGGGTGGTAGGCAGATCTATGCTAAGGTGCCTTCGGTTGCTGTGGCAGGATTCTGGCTGATAGGAGCGTTTTGCCCTCTCGTGGTAGTTGTGCTAAGTGCAGGATTTAAAACTGTATCCAACATTGTGTTTTCAGCATTTGTACCCGGACTGGTGGCCAGTTCATAATCACTGTAGTAAACGGGTAAATCACACCCCTGTGACCATAAGGAACAGACTGTGGGATGGCCACTTCCAAAATTGCTTGAGCTAAAAGTCATTCTCCATTATCTCCATAGTACTAAGACATGTCCTATGGGTGAGCCAAGCATAGGAGGTGAGAGACCCAGCATTTGCAGGTCTGATTCTGTCTAGAGGATGGTGACAATACAGTGGCAGGTCTGGCTTCAGCCAGCAGAGGGCTGTGGTCTGTCCCAGCTCAAAAACAGGTCAGAATCTGTACAGCAGTGGGCTATGCGCACACACACAACTCTGCTGTGAATGTATTGCAAGCATTGAATCACTGCGTAGGAGGGTGGTCACCCAGGTGCTAGCAGAGATTATTCAGTGAAAGGGAGACCTGCCCTGTCTCCACCCCAGGCAGACAAGCTGCCACAACTTCCCCATGTTCCTTCTGAGTCTGGCTCTGCTTTCTAAAGGCTTTTGAGATGGGATGTAGGGAGTGCTGCATGCACAGTAGAAGGAGCTCTGCTCTAAGGGGTGCCTGCATTTCAGAGTGAGACAGGCCCAGAGAGACCGTTAGATGCTCTTTGTTTTGGTGTTGCGCATTCCACTGAGCTGTTCTGAATTACGAAAGGGCTGCAGCTGGACAAGCACTTTGCAGAAACCAAGTTTGAGTCATTTATTTCAAAGATGTATTTTTTCAGTCTGGCTACGAGTGTCTGCAGCAATTTTCATGGACTAAGAAGTTAAGGAATAACTCCCACCCCTGAGCTGCAGTATAACAACTGCCTCCTATCTCTACTGGACTCTCCAGACAAACACAACAGAGCTTGACTTGCCTCTTTATCTTTAGCCCTGTGCTAAATAGTTCAGGCCAGTGCACATCAACCCTCACCTGCAGCCCCTTGCCCTACAGCTCTTCTCAGGGTGGAGCAACTGAACCAAAGTTGTGTGTGGTAAGGATCTGCACATGCCTCTTAACTCTATTGTACCTGCCTCCCTTCAAAAATATAAATCGGGCTGGTTTGTAAAAGTATTGAGGCATGTGAAGATGCAGATAAGCACCTAGTAGGATTTTTTAAAGCACTACAACTCCCATGGGATTAGGCACTTTTGAAAAACCTGTGTGGTACCTATCTGCAGGTGCCTGAACACCTTTACAAACCTGGCCCTTTATGTGAGGATAACACAACGCTTTACAAAAGGTCAGTGCTGCTAGAAGAGGGAAGTGACTTGCCTAGGGACACACAGTGAGTCACTGCGGAATTGAAAATTTATTCCCAGAGTCCTGGCTACCTGCTCCCTTTAACTAGACAATACAACTTCAAAACTCTCTCTGTCTGATGTAAAGTAGGTATTACCTTGCTGTGTGTTCAGCTGTGGACAGCAATACAAAACTGATATTAAAGACCCCACTCCATGCATGCAGCCTGTCTGTGGCTCAGACTCAAGCCCTGAGTTTGATTATTACTCTAGAAAGGCCTGCGTACGAGGGGAGCACAGAACAGCTTTGGGGAGTGCGACTGGAAAAGAAATAGAGGAAGATCTATCCCTCAAATCACTCCCACTGTTGACGCTAGTTGCCTGTTGGTAGAAAGTCCAAGGATTGACCTCCCCCGGCTCCTTGAGAGGAGCTGTCC